CTATACGCAACTCCACAGAATAATAACGCATGATTGTGCCAGACTGTTTCGTCGGGCTTCCACGGAATGATCAGGCGGTTGAACCCCTACAGGCTGCCGAGGATCCATTCGGCTGATGGATAAAGGACTGTGTTTTGCGCGCCGCAAGTGTCTGCGTGACAGGGAGGGATACGGAGGGGAACTGCGATTCCCTCGGGAGACCTCCTTCCCTCCCTCCTTCTCTCTCTCTCTCTCTCTCTCTCTCTCTCTCTCTCTCTCTCTCTCTCTCTCTCTCTCTCTCTCTCTCTCTCTCTTCGTATTTTGCACAAGCATCAGAGAGTTCGAGAGAGGAAAGAGAGAGAAGGACGCGGGAGGGGGAGGTATCGTCGCGACGCGTTAACAATTTTGGCGACCTTCGGCGGTGTCTTTTTTATTGACAATTTTGCAATTTTGCAATTTTGCAATTTTGCCCTTTTTTCCCGTGCTGTGGGCGAAACCGCTAAAACTTCGGTGTCTCGATCTGATTGAATCAGGAAGTAAGTTATAACTTATTAGACAATTCCAGTCTAGTAAGTTATAACTTAATTCCATTCTAATTAAGTACTTTGAGGAAGAAACAGTTATGACTGTTGTCCGGAATTCAGCCACACTCGACTTCGCCCGTTGATCACTCACTTCTTCCTCAAACTAATTAAGTAATTACAATTACGACTTGTCGTTTCTTTTTCTTATCTTATCTTACTGTAATAATTTAATTTATTACTAAAATTACAAAAGGCCAGGAAACGGGCCTGGCGTCCCTTACAAAAAGTACGTGAGCCTGTTTACGTGCGAGACATCTCATCACCAGTCAAGCACAATAAATTTATTAAATAAATTATGCAATACGCGAAACGGGGAAGATAACCAACACATCAAAAAAAAAGACCGTACCAGTCGATCAGTCCTCTCGCAAGCTCTCTTTTTTTTTTTTTTTTTTTTTTTTTTTTTTTTTTTTTTTTTTTTTCTTTTTTTTTTCCCAATTCAATCTCCTAGCGGCTTGCCGTCGACTATAGGACCGGATACAACAAGGGTCTCCCCGTTGGCCACGAGGCGCACAGCGGAGGAGACCCCTTTTCCATTCTCCCCTTTAAGCTTTATTCCTCTAGAACTATAGAGGCACTCAATTCTTTTCGCCGTGCCGACCTCTACTAAGAACGTGGCAGCAGCAATCAAGTTCAAAATCTCTCCGTGTATGTACGTCTTCACCATGATTGCAGAAGGGCTGTCGTTCCGCACGATGCAATGAGACATCCCAGGTGTGACAGCCTGGCTGACAGGCGCCCCTCCCGTCAGATCGGTGACAGTCACTTTATCCCCCTGGATGGCCACGCCGGCAGGGATTATCACCCCATTACCCTCCACGCTCACCTTCAAGCCCCGATGATCGGGCATGGCCGCCACCGTGCGTTCATCTCCATCGTCGATCAGCCACGCGCCATAAGGAACCACATTCACGACGTCAAAGTGGTTGTACGTCCTCACAATGATCGGATAGCCCGTCTGATTTCTTATCACGCAATTTGCATTGCCCATCGCAACTGCACGACCGGTCGCCGGTTCAAAAAACTCCCCGGAGTTTTCCTAGGAGGTCGGTCCTTCGCAACACGTGCACCTCCAACGACCTTGGCGAAGACGTGGGAGATCTGCATATCCCACGTTTTCGCCAATCTGTATTAATCCTACTAATCAATCAATCGACGGCGATCTCGTGCAGCGATTAAAAGATCGAAAAGAAGCCGCGTGGCGAGGTCAGCTATCACGGAGCAATCGGCACGTCACCCACCCAACCGCGCAGCTCCGACTGAGCTCAACGCCGATCTGTATCCCAATCCAGTGTGTGTGTGTCAAAATCAGTCTGACGACTGTCGGGCCCGCTATCATTCCGATTCTTGCCAGCTGTGCAAACCCCCGTCCACGTGCCGGGGCGTAAGTTCGACTCGACTCCACCCTGGTGGTGAACCTGGCACAGTCATCGGGCCTCTCCGCACCACTCGCCAAATGCGCAATATGAGAATGAATTTATGCCAGTAGCGTGGAAAGGTGCACGTCGTTATTTTTTGTCGTTTGTGCATTTGGTGAGCGGTGCGGCGAAGCCCATCGTCTCGGTCCCTGTCCACGTCACACGGACGGTGTAAGTGCCACCACGTAGGGCCTTTGCAACCGGGTGCATGGTCCCACCAACAACGGGGATTTGCATGGTCCCACCAACAACGGGGATTGGATTAAGATCCTGAATCTGGGCGTGTTTTACGCAGAGATGCAGAAAAGCAGTTCAATCTCGATTTTCTGCACTTGTCCACAAACGCAGCCACGTTCAATCCAACCCTCTTTGCTAGTGGGACCTTGCCCCGGGCGGGGCGTTCCGACGCCTGTCAGCACCGATCCGTCGTTCCTCGCGGCATTCAAGTCTCCGACTCACGGGCTTTCACTCGTCAGGCTTGGCAGTCCGGCGCTCCTTGCGGCGCGCAACTGCGACTCATGGGCCCTCGCTGCACTAACCATGCATACAGAAAAGACAAAATAATGGCGGTGTATAGTTTCATGTTCTAGCAAGAGATTCGTTCGGCCGTGGAGACTTGCTACACACTGCTCGCGAATCGAAACGTTTCGATCCACCGGCCTAACTCAGTTGGTGAGGCACTCAGGTGGCGTTCAGGAGGGCGTGGGTTCAATTCCCATTGCCCTCATGTACCGTCCTGGGCATGCTTGGCGCCCGCCACCTAGAGATAAACC